AGAGGGAGATTTATCACTCGACCTTTGCTACTTCTCCAGAACATTCCCTGTGTGAACAAATCGGTACAAGATGAAAAAATGGCAAACAGGTGGGGAGAGGAACATAAAAAACTCAGCTGGTGACGGTGTCCAGGGCCAGCCAGCTCCTTTGTTTCTAAGTTGGGAACATTTTGCTGAAAACTCTCTTCTTTTTGCATAAAATTCAGTTTGGGTCAACTTTTACACTAGAAGGGCTCATTTTGATGACGTTTTTTCCTGTCTTTCTGCAGAGCTACATTCCCTGGACCAGCACACATCTCTCTGTCTCCAGCCAGGACCTCACAGGGCTGCTCCAGATGATGTATCTGTGCACACAGAAATCAGACAACTTCTATGGGCATTTTCTGCTCTTGAAGTTACAGCTGTGCCCTGTCAACTCAGAAAGGCCATGCAGTAAGAATATGGCCAGTGACAAAGAGTATTTTTAAGATAACAAACCTATGGGTAAAGTCAATAGGACTAGTCATATAAACCAAGGGCAGAATTCCACCCCAAACATACCCAAAACATTTGGATCATTGTGTTACATTGTAATCTAGGGACTGACTTAATTTAGGAAACAAAATATTTCTGATACAGAGAACAGCAATCTTATACTCACGCAAACTTCCTCTTAAAATCACCTGGAAACAATTTAAGAGTGAAGCACCTGCTAGCAATCCAATTTTTATAGGGTTTTTGAGTGTTCTTTTGTGCCATGTTTGTACTAATTTCAAATGGCAAATACAGTTCTATCAATTTTTTAAAAATATTCCTACAAATAATAAATATGGCCACAAGTACAATACATTCTTATTTGCTATGGAAAATACTCAATGCACTAAGTAATTATTATCGGTTAGCTTTATTGGGACGCTTTCTATGAACTATATCAACCAATATGCCAGTTCCACTCTGAGGAAAGGAAAAGTAGACAGTTTTCTAACCTCATTCTCTTGTTAAATATTACTCTGTTGCTGTCTCACATTAAGAATTTTCTCCCTATTTTCTGTGTCTTCCACTCCTTTTTCTTCATTAGTTACCTTTTCAAGGATTTAACCCTCACAAATAGTGAAGTAAATGTTGAGGTAGATGTATCTATTTCATGCATTAATCAGGAAAGCAGTATTAAAGGTATTTTTGCTGGGCATTAGGGGGTATCTCCCTGGTCAGATCTGTTGTTTCAGGTTCTTTGCAAATTAAAGCGAATGTGACTGCCTGACTCAGTGCAGCGCCAGGGACTGCTAGTTCAACAGGGAATGGATTCAGAGATACACCTTTTTTCTACGGGGGAGGCTTCAAACTAACCAAGAAACCTGCCCACAACCCAATGCTGAACTTGCTTCAACCTAACATCTCTATACTGATAAATCTCCCCAGTTTTATTGGCAGAACCCAACTAGTTCACTGGAGAAGAAGTTTCATGTAATTATTAAGATATTGAAGAATTTCCCCTGTATGTCAAGATTAATACTGAAAGCTGTTCAGCCCATCTACCTACCAAGGATATGAAAAGAAAGTGACCTATGCCTTTTAAGGGATACACTGCTGAAACACATAGAAGCTAGCTGACTCTGAAAATTTGGATAAGTTAGTCCCCATGTTTAAAAGATCGGGTAGGCGTTGAACAAATTAAAAATTTGAGCATTTGGAGTATTTCAAGTGAAAATATCCAAGACATTTTTAAGAATTGATTTTTATAGTATCTTTAGGAAAAACACCCAAACTAGTATGTTTTAAACCCAGGATCTCGCTTTAAGGGCTTTCATAAGAATAACGTTTGTCATAAAATATTTCTCAGCATAAAGCAACAGACTATTAATATTGAGCCTGCAACCTTCCACAGATTCCATTGGCTATTTTGGATTTAACACATTATTTTACACATTCCCTATGAACTGTGCAGTGAGCAGGGAGACCCACATTAGCCCTCCTGATTTTCAGTATTTAGCCAAGTTGGGATTGTGGTCTCCTTAGCATCCTCTTGTAGCCAACAGCAGAACACAGCCTGAGTTAGCCCAGCCTTTCCTCTATCCGAAACTGCCTGCAACCCTTCACTGCTTGCAGCAAACCAAAAGGTCCCCAGGGAAACCCACACAAGTACCTAAATAAAGGCCCAAATTCAGACCCCAAGTGGAAAGGGATTGCAGGTTAGCACTAGTTCTGATTAGATTCTGGTATGTGCAAGCAATTAATATATTGAATTTTCATGAGGTTTTAATCCCCAATATCACAGTTAAGCAAGTGAAAAGAGTGGTTTTGCCTCATCTCAGTCACCTAGCATGGTTTATCTAGAGTTAAACTAAAAAAACTTTGTTCTAAGGGGACTGAAATTACTTAAACAATGTCATCCTTTTTTAGAGGTTTGAGCTGGACCTAAAAGAAATTACAGATTTGAATAAGAAAGTCATTAATTTTGAAAAAGTACAGGATAATTTTGTAATTTTTGACATAAGAGGACTTAATTCTAAATTTTCTTTCACCATTTTGCTTTGGTTTTACATTGGTTTAATTAAACTACTTTAACTCACATTAGTACATTTTATAGTAATTAAAACTATACACAGACAAAGACAATGAAGCTTAAAGTTAAATCTTTATCTTTAACTGCCATTAGGGCTTATGGCTCATTGAACTTTCTCCAAACATATAATCAAGCTTACAAGTCTAAAAGAGCATAACCCCAAAATTAAAAAAATACACTTCAAGCTTAGCTTCAAACCTCAAACTAAACACTGTAACCAAAACATTGTGCTGCTAGCAAATTCTTTCCCAAAGTCTAAAAACAATGAAATGCCAAAATTTCAATTACTTGCATTTTTTTACTTAAACAGTGAAAGCAGTTTTCCACTCTCTGGCTGAACACAAACATTCAACGGTGCACTTTCAATGTGTCAGATGGAGATGATGGTGCCCACTTCTTCCATTAGCAGGTCCCTGGTGCTATTAAGAGATGTACATAAACCTGTAGGCTCCACTTTCCAGCAAAAGCACGGAAGTGACAGAAGTGCAGTCAATCAGAACCCAACAAAATCCCTTCCCTATCCACCAAGTAAATAAGAAAGAAGAGTTCAGATAATGATTGTGTTTGAAAAATAGATACTGGAGAAATTGCACAGTAATGCTACAGCAGAGTTTACATGATGGCCCTAAGGTATCTTCAGTCCTCATGTTCTGCCTCCCAGCCCAATCAAAGCTGGATGGCTTCCCACTAAATATAGAGCATTAGGGCTCAAATACAAAGTGCAACGTTAAGTTCACAAGTAGGCTTTCAGCCTTGGAATTTTTTTCATTTCATATCTTCTAGATTGTAACTATATTTCAAGCACCGAAAACCAATAGTTCTTTCTGTCTGTTTTAACAACAATTTTTTTTTTTAAAAAAGTAATGATTTTTTCTGAAGAATGATTTTTTGACCTTTACAGTTCAGGGTAGCTGAAGAAGCAATTCTTTCTCCTTACCCAGGAACCTCAACTAAAACCTGTCATCAAGTATTCACCCAAAGGATTAAACTTCCAAAGGCTGAATTTTGTATTCACTGTAAGAGTAAATATAGGGGCAAGAACATGAAAATAAACAGCTTTGTATGCAGATACTAGCTTACACAAGCATATGAGCAATCAGGTATGAATACTTGTTTGTACATGCAGATACAACCACCTCCTCTTGACCCTTCATACGCACCTTATAAAACCAACTTGATTGGCAACTTTTTGCAGTTCAGCTCTATTACTGCAAACTTTAGAGAATTCAACATAGAGAGGAGAGGAGAGGAGAGGAGAGGAGAGGAGAGGAGAAGAGAAGAGAAGAGAAGAGAAGAGAAGAGAAGAGAAGAGAAGAGAAGAGAAGAGAAGAGAAGAGAAGAGAAGAGAAGAGAAGAGAAGAGAAGAGAAGAGAAGAGAAGAGAAGAGAAGAGAAGAGAAGAGAAGAGAAGAGAAGAGAAGAGAAGAGAAGAGAAGAGAAGAGAAGAGAAGAGAAGAGAAGAGAAGAGAAGAGAAGAGAAGAGAAGAGAAGAGAAGAGAAGAGAAGAGAAGAGAAGAGAAGAGAAGAGAAGAGAAGAGAAGAGAAGAGAAGAGAAGAGAAGAGAAGAGAAGAGAAGAGAAGAGAAGAGAAGAGAAGAGAAGAGAAGAGAAGAGAAGAGAAGAGAAGAGAAGAGAAGAGAAGAGAAGAGAAGAGAAGAGAAGAGAAGAGAAGAGAAGAGAAGAGAAGAGAAGAGAAGAGAAGAGAAGAGAAGAGAAGAGAAGAGAAGAGAAGAGAAGAGAAGAGAAGAGAAGAGAAGAGAAGAGAAGAGAAGAGAAGAGAAGAGAAGAGAAGAGAAGAGAAGAGAAGAGAAGAGAAGAGAAGAGAAGAGAAGAGAAGAGAAGAGAAGAGAAGAGAAGAGAAGAGAAGAGAAGAGAAGAGAAGAGAAGAGAAGAGAAGAGAAGAGAAGAGAAGAGAAGAGAAGAGAAGAGAAGAGAAGAGAAGAGAAGAGAAGAGAAGAGAAGAGAAGAGAAGAGAAGAGAAGAGAAGAGAAGAGAAGAGGAGACCCCACCAACACCCTACCTCGACAATAAAAATCTAAACAGAAAGACCAGAATATCACCTAAACTTGATTAACATTAGGATAATAAAGCAAGTCTGAGTACTGCAAGCTAAAGACCCAGAAAACTTTTGTCAGGTAAAACTGCCCAAAGTACTGATTTTGCAGTCCCTGGATTATTTTCTAAGGAAACTGCTCTGCCACACACTCTTTTCCCAGCATGGTTCCATAGTGTTTGATAACAGGAGAACTTTGAAATTTCATTCACCCAAGCCTTTATTAGAAGGAACAGATCAAATCAGATCTTATTTTCTTCAATCAGAAGGGGCAACTTATTGGTGATTTTATAACAACTTAGATTATTTCTGGTTTTGTCTTTAAATTTTCATGGTAATTCAACACACATTGACAGGAAAACTAAGTGTATCATACAGAGTAGGTAAATAAATCATGAGAAGAATCTATATGATGTTTAATAGTGCAGATTGTGTAAAAAAAAACCACAACAACAAATCAAAACAAAAAACCTGCAGTGCACAAACACTGAAATTCAGACTCCCCTGGCAAACTTGCCTGATAAACTCCACTGTGTAATACTGGATGGGAGAACTTCCTTCGCTCACTCCGGGCTTCCAGGATAACGCAACTTCTGAATCAGAAACTACCACAATCTGGGGTTGAAATGGTGGTACAGGGGGCATGCACTTATCTAAGCCAGAAGAAATGCAAAGGAACAGCATCAGAGAAGTGGATGGGCTAAAACACACTTAAACTCAAAACCCACAGACTTGGGAATCAAATTTAGGGGCTTCTCCCTTTACATGTTGCCCCTCTAAAACTCCACACTTACGGAAAAGCAATCATAAAATATTACAATCCTACACATGACAAAGATTTACATGTGAGTGACCTTCCATGTTACAGATGTATGTCCTGTCAGTTTTGCAACAGAGAGCCAAGTATGCAGTGTTACCTTGCGGTAAGGTTGTCACATCTCGGGGCATGCTGGGTCGTCCTTTCCCTGCCCAGCCATATGCTCCAACGCTAACACGGTGTGCAGTGCCTGGCTTCAGATCACCGATAACAACCTCCTACCAGAGACAAGGGAAGATAAGAACATTGTGAAAGCTCTTCCATGTAACTGGTGATGGGGCCGTGAGATAGGATTTGGGAATCTTTTATGGCATTTTTCATGTAACCTCCTGGGAGGATTGTCCCCAGCACAGCTCAAAAGCAACAAACACAAATAGCACCACATGTTTCCCCTCAAGCTGCAGCTTCACCCCCGGGAAATCCATAGAGATGACCTGGACCCATTTCTCAGCCTAACTCCCAAGGTTGCAGATCATTTGCATTCTCTGCCCAGCTTTTTTGCTGGTGAAGTCAAAGTCACATGCTCCTCCCTCCCTTGAGCCAGTTGCTGGCTTTCATTATGAGTCTGGTGCATTTTCTTTTCTTTTTTCTTTTTTTTTTTTTTTTTTTCTTGTTTTTGTTTTTCTTTTAAATCCAGAGACCGTAGAAGCTCCTGAGAACAAAGCAAGTCACTGCAGTGTGAACTGATGATCTTTAACTTCTCACGGAGCAGAGACCAGTCCCATCGCCTCTCACAATTTTCCTAGCCTAGCTATCAGCCTTGACCTGAAACAAGCATTTCCCTTATTTGTCCTTCTGCCATAAACACAGAAAGATTAACCCACGGATAACTACTGTAAGGGAGGTAATGTTAACCGCCATCTCAAGAGCTTGTGCTGCTGTACACTGTTCAGAGGAGCCTGCTCAAATCTTCCAGAAATTAGCAAATGTCACAAAAAAATTGCATTGTATCACTGGCTGGCGCACATTAGCACAGATCAGCTTCAGACATTTAGATCTAGTCTTTAATATAGAGCACATGTAGGTGTGTATCGAAATTCAGTATTTTTACCTGCAACCTATCCGTAGAGAGATGCAAATCCCACTTTTATGAATTTTGACAGCATACACAAGTAAACAGAAATATCAGGTTCTACACCACAGACTGTTTTGGTGTGAAAAAAAGCACTTTAAAAAACTTTTTTACAGAGATTTTTCTTCTGTTTTTCATTCTCTGATATTAAAAACACTATTCACAGTGCATATGAAAATACAGAGATCTCCTTTCTCTTCACGTTGGAATGGACTTTAAATCTGCATTTCCAGTCACACTAAAATAGTAAACAATCCCAAAATTTTATTAACTGCTAAATTTCCTTCTAACAGTCTTTTGGACAAAATCTCCCTCTCTGTTCTTTGGGGAACTTACTACTACAACATTGTTCGGCAACACCCTGCCATCTGTCATTTTTCTAGCCATAGTTTTGGAGTTCCATCACTGATTTCCTATTAACATGGACCATCTGACCATTATCCTGTTTTTCCATCATTCACCCTTGATCTGCTTGAATTATTTTGATTCATCTGAGATTATAACAATGCTGGAAAAGTAACTGCCCAGAGACAAGCAACAAGAACACTCACACTGAAAGATTTATCTGGGTCTTTCAGTCTCATAGCTGAAGTAAATGAGATCTTTCAAAACTTGATCTGAAAAGCCAGTTGCTGAAAATCCAGCACCTCCTCCTGATGACAATACTGATGACCCTGCTCCTGCTGTTCCATCCTTCTCCATGCCATACATATTGTCCATCTGTATGTAAACTGCGTGCATTTTTTCCTGTCAGCATCCCTCTTTATTATGTTCATTCTTAAGAGAAAAAATTCCTTCATTGTGTGTCTTATTGCTTTCACACTATTCAGGAACTTGGCCTCTGCCAAGAGTGGGATATTGATGTACTTGCCTCATATTATTACCTCCTGACTCAAGTCTGCAATAAACTAAACAGAACAAATCTCATTGACTGCAAGGCCAATTAAGATCAAAGTTCTAATATATGTTTAGGTATTTAAGTTCAACATATGTGCCCTCAAAACTTCAGCAAGGTGCTCTCTTGCCTTACCCACATGGCTATCTGTCCCTTTCTTCTGGCAATGTCCTTTCTGTGACCACAGCTGTTGGATATACAGTGGGTACTTTTGAGATCAAGTATCTTCTAATCTTTCAGGATCAAGATATTAATGAAAAGGCAAAGATCTGGGACTCAATTGAGTCTACCATTGAGCAGATAATCCTGAGTACCATCACACAGTATATTCAGGACAACCAAATGATCAGGCCTAGTCAGCATGGGTTTGTGAAAGGCAAGTCCTGCTGGGCAACCCTCATCTCCTTCTACAACTTGGACAGCCACTTAGTGGGTGAAGGAAAGGCTGTGGACGTTGTCTATCTGAACTTCAGTAAAGCCTTTGACAGCATTTGCCACAGCATCCTTCTGGAGATACTGGCTGCTCACAGCTTGAATGGGCATATACTTTGCTGGGTTAAAAACTGGCTGGATCCCTATGCCCAAAGAGTGGTGTTAAATGGAGTTAAATCCAGTTGGTCATGAGTGGTGTTCCCCAGGGCTCAGAACTGGGCCCAGCCGCCTTTAACTTCTTTATAAATTATCTGGACAACGGGATTGAGTGCACCCTCTGTATGTTTGCAGATGACACCAAGCTGGGTGGGAGGCTCTGCAGAGGGATCTGGACAGGCTGCATCAATGGGCCGAGGCCAACTGTATGAGATTCAATAAGGTCAAATGCTGGGTTCTGTACTTTGGCCTCAACAACTCCCAGCAGAGCTACAGGCTTGGGGAGAAGTGGCTGGAGAGCTGCTCAGCAGAGAGGGACCTGCGGGTGTTGGTCGACAGCAGCTGAACATTAGCCAGCAGTGTGCCCAGGTGGCCAAGAAGGCCAACAGCACCCTGGCCTGTATCAGGAATAGTATGACCAGTAGGACTAGGGAAGCTGTCTTACCCCTGTACTAGTGTGTTGGGTTTGTGCGTAGTGGGTGTTGGGGGGAGTGGGGAAATTTTTGGTAGTGGGGGAAGGGCCACTTTGTGAGAGCGAAAGCTCCCCTGGCTCCAAGGCAGAGAACCCCCAGCTCAGGCTGAGCCAATTAGCACTACAGAAACACTTCTGTGAATCCATATTTGTGAGGGGAAGAACCATCTTGAAATGAAGAAGGTGGAGAGAACTTGGAGGAGAGGACATTGACCTGAACAAAAGATGACCATTGGCCTAAACAGAGAGAGAGTTTTGTTGCCAGGAGGAGGGGGACGACCATAACTGGTGACCCAGCCGTCCCAGTCCTCATCCTAATCCGTGCCCCTCTTTGTTGTGATTCCCTTCCCATCTCACCAGGTGGGGGGAGTGAGTGCAGGACCACATGGTCCTACTGCGGTTAAACCTCCAAAACTCAGCACTGGTGAGGCCGCTCTTTACTGTGTTCAGTTTTGGGCCCCTCACTACAAGACAGACATTGAGTTGCTGGAGCATGTCCAGAGAAGGTCAACGGAGCCAGTGAAGGGGCAAGAGCACAAGTCTTATGAAGAGCAGCTGAGGGAACTGGAGTTGTTTAGCCTATAGAAATGGAGGCTGAGGTGAGACCTTATCGCTCTCTACAACTACCAGAAGGGAGGGTGTAGCGAAGTGGGGGTTGGTCTGTTCAACCAAGTAACAAGTGATAGGACAAGAGGAAATGGCCTCAAGTTGCACCAAGGGAAGTTTAGATGGATATTAGGAAGAATTTCTTTACTGGAAGGGTTCTTGGACATTGGAGCAGGTTGCCCAGGGCAGTGGTGGAGTCCCCATCCCTGGAGGTGTTTAAGAGTCATGTAGACACAGTGCTTAGGGACAGGGTTTAGTCATGGTTTAGGGGACTTGTCAGTGTTAGGTTAATGACTGGACTTCGTGGATCTTAAAGGTCTTTTCCAATCAAGGAAAATCTGTGATCATCAAGCTATCCTGACCCATGACAATCTCAGGGAACACCAACTTCACACTAGAACACTTTTGAATGAGATCGTGGAGAAGAAACGTATTTCCTTGTACCCCACTGTTCAGCAGCCTGGGAGTACCTATTTCACCTCCTTTTTTTTTCTTTCTTGTATTTAGAAGGAGAGTCTTAAACTCAAGTTTTCTCCATCCCAGAAGAAAAACAGTGGCCTCACTGGAGGAATTTCAGTGGTATGTGGAAGAGATAGCTCCCTATCATTCTTCTAGTCTTTCTCTCCACTCAGATTGCCTCTATATTTTGAAGCACCATACCCCAAACTGGATGTTACTTTGCTGATGAAGCTTTATTAGGCATCAACCTCACTTTTTTGTTTTACACAACACTCTTGCTAAAAACCTGCAAAATGACATTTGGTATTTTCATTACAATCTCACATTCTTGAATGGGGTGAAGCAACGCAATGCCTCTTCTGTGGTAGAGGAGTCAAGTGTAGGTAGAAATCGTACACCCCTCCCTGCCCTGTCACACAGCTTGCCCTCCCTCCAACTGTGTTGAAACTATGAGGCTGCACAGTAAATTGCCTCACAGAAACCAGGATTATAAATTATTTTCCAAAGGAATCCCATTTTCTGCTTTGTTTTGTTTTAATGCAAAAAAACATCAGTCCCTGAATTACAGTGCAGCTGCAGCAACTGAGCTGGGTTTAATGACACTTGATCCTATGACAACTCCTTCCCTGCACTACTGGTCTCAGCAGGTCACTCCCCATTTTGTACTGGCATGTTTGGTGATTTGAGAGGGAGCACTATTGCTCTCCATGCTCTGTGCCTAACCTAAAACCTCCCACCTTTAAAGCCTACTATTTTTGCTTGCTATTTTCCTTTTTTCAGCATTTGTGCTCAACTCCCTGAATATTATGCCTGGTGGAACAACTGCCTTATTAAATTGTACTGCATCTGCACTTCTCCTGGCTGTTCTCACTTACATGTTCTCTATTATAAGATGATATAATACCGCTATAATACATTATCCATTTTGCTAACACACAGGCACATGGACACACACACACACACAGAAACAGGCGACCCATGTCAGCTCTTGCTGCAACAGTTTTGCATAGTCCAGGGAAGCCTCTGACAAAGCAGCAGGGTTGTACCCAGCACCAGGAGAGGAGGCTTAAGGACGGAAACACAAACTATGCAGACTTAACCACAAAGCTATTGCAGATTTCTGTTGAGTTTGGTATGAATATAACAGAAAGCATTTCAGCGAGAACACCACTTCCTGAGGATTAATGACAGCTGGGAGCTAATTAATCCCAGTCAGTCATACTTCTCCACAAGTACCCCTAAGAAGTGTTATTTTTATCAAGGAGAAAAAAAAAGGGCCCAGCGTGGAACCTCAACTCTGAAATGCCATAATCCAGACTCAGCTCAGCTGGGATCGAACCAGCTAGTCCTGGTTCAAGTGCATCCTGAGGTCTCATCCAGACATCAGACTGCTACAGTCCAAACAAATGCCCTTTAAATCAGACCATGAAAGCTGTGTGAGATCCACTGACTTTGCAGGATTTTTCCATTCCTAAAACAGATCTCCAAGAGAAAAAGTTTGCAAGAGGTTGTTGATGTTAGGGATTTCAGTTAAACACCAAAATCACCTCCCTTCCCCTGCTCAAACATGAGCACCTCCTGCTTGCTTCCCCTCTCGCAATAGCCTGATCTGTTTACTGCTCATAGGAAGCAGACTGGACCGAGTGCATGACTGGAAATAATTAATCTGAATAATTCACCAGCTGCAAAGCCATTAAGAGGGCTGGTATTTCTTTCTTGTATAAAACTTGTTTTATACTACTTGTTAGTCTCCCGCTCCTTCCTCCTGGGAGTTCCATGGCTAGCCTCTTCCCGTGCTCCTCCTCTCACTGGACTGGCTCAGGTCTTTTCCTCTCCATCTCCTCTCCCACTGCTGGACTGCTTTGTTCTTCCCTATCACTCCACGTCTGACTACCCAGCTGTCCCTGTCCCCGTAAGTCATCACAGCCTGGATATAGCTAATTTTTTACACACATTTCTTCCAGCAATACAAGAAATCCATAAACTTTTGATGACCAGTAGGAAAGTTCATCCATTGCTAAAAAGGGAGCCACTATATTGACACTTGTCCACCTTATTCATCTCTGGGTTTTGATTTTTAGCTACTACTTGCCATATTTTGACTATAAAATATCCTGTATAAGTGCTAAGTAGAATCAACATTTGAGATCAACTTTTGTGTGTGAATCTGTGGAAAGACCAGCTCAGGAATGTTCAGTTTCATTTTAAATCACAGTTGTGACCAAGTTTCATGTGAAGCAATACTTACAAAAATTGCTTGTCCTTCAAGTTGACCCTGGGAAAAAGCAAAATAGGACTTGTTAATGAAGTAACACACTAAAAAGTGATGGCAAAACCATATAAACAATGGGTCAGGGAATTAAAACAAGGCCAGTGCTGCAGCACAGAGTAGTCTATGTGGCTGTTATTCATCTGTGTAAGTACTGGGATACAGACTCTGTTCTCCCAGTGAGTAAGAATCACTGCTGTCAGGATTAAGTTAAAAAAAGATGTGCTGCTTGATCTTTGTTGGCACTACTAGGAAGAAAGTTTTTTCAGGAAAAAGAGCAAGTGATGAATAGAGATAAAGATCAAAAGGGAGAAAATAATGCATAAATAAAGAAATAATTTGCCATGATTCCAGAAACCTGAGTCAGAACCAGCAACCAGACTGATGGAAAACTGCAGGAAATCTGAGGAGCTCTCATGCTTCTCATGGGGAAGGTTCCTGAGCACTGCCCAAGCAAGGATCAGTGAATGCATAACAATGAACATCAGGTGGGGAGGCTGAAGGAAGAAGGGTGAGGAAATAAAGAAGAATGAAGATGAGTAAAAGATAAAGGAGAAAAAAAAAACAAACTGTGAAGGAGTATCATCAAACAAAAACCTGTAATGTTCCTCTGTGTGCACATGTAATCGTTTGATTCCTGTGCTGTTAATGTTGCTGTCTCATGAACAGACTGCCCTGTGCAGACTGCAGTATGAAAGTGCTCCCCTCACAGCACCCAACCTGCAGCACTCCTTTGCTCTCTGCATGAGCAGAGGCTGGAAAATCTCTGTTTCTGCCTTGTTGAACTCAAAAAGCAGCTTCTCCACACTGAGGAAGCTACTGGCAAGTTTTGAGAATACCCTTTAAAAGCAGTATTAAAACCATCCAGAAGCACGGAGGAATTGCTTTCATCTCAGCACTAATTGCTCAGCCGTGCAGCAGAAGAGAATGGGTGCTGTTCATTCATGAATGGAAAAGGAAGGGGAAACTAGAAAGAAAAAGGGATGGAGGAAAAAGGAGAGTGAAATAAAGCAAAGTAAGAAAGCAAAGGAGCAATAAAAAGAAAAACAGAACTAAAGGAAAGGGGGAGAATGGGAAGCAAGCAGGAAAAGCAGTGCTTTCAAGAACAACAACAACAACAAAAATCCAGAAGTTGAGGGAATCTTCTAGGAGATGCACTTGCACAACTGCAACTAAAGCAGCACTATTAAACTTTAAATTCTGTGTTTCAGGAGGCCACACTCTCTCACAGAAACAAAAATACACTGAAAACTGTGCCTCCTTTAACTCAAACACTTAAACTTGAACCTGTGTCAGACACTGCAATATACATACACTGATACTGCAATTCAGACTGTGCATAGAGCTGTGCAATTCCCCTTCCATGTGTGGAAGTGCACAGAAAATGCATATTCAAAATTACAAGTTCTATTTTAGTAGATGCCAAAGGTCAGTACTAGGAAGATGCAAGCAGGTCCCAATGCTTTACATGCTAAACTAGTCAGACACAAGGAGCAAAATTATATCACGCTGACTGGATTACAGAAAAACATTGTGATTTCCTTTTGCCCAGTACCCGGAGCAGATCTGGGACTTGTATCCTCAGTGTAATTTACAAACAAGCAGCAAGTAGACAGTTGCAAGTTCCCACTTGCAAGCTCCGCTCCAGTGCTCTGACTGTTGACAAAAAGAAATACTCACCGTGCTAAGCATATCCAAACTCAGGGGAACATCATGTGAGAGCTGTTTAACCACTTTGTCATCTTCAATCTCTGAGTAAAAGACCTTCAGAAGAAGATACAGTCAAGTCGGTTAAAGCAACAATGCCAGGCTTCAGGATGACTTAAAAACAGGTGCATTGTTACCACACTGTGGGTAGCATTTGGGTCTATAATCCTCTACCTTTTGAAAAGCATGGAAAGCTAATACCCTTTAACATTCCCTTCATATCTGCTAGAAGTTGTCAGTAGAAGCAAAGGACACCCTTTTACAGCATATATGCTGAACTGAGGTGAAACACACCCTAGCTTTCAGGGCAGACTTGAATTGACAACTTTAATTGTTCACCATTTGACCAAAGTCAGCTTGGACAGCTGAAGATTTGTGAGACTGGTCTGCACAATTTAGGCATTTTACTTCATATTAGGAAGATAGTGACATTATGTGATTATGTCATTATAAAAATTAAAAATTACTGTATCATAAATGTCTTTCCATGCCTGCTGCCAAGCACTGCAAACTAATGAGCCAAGGAGAGTCTGATTTCCTGTGCACAGAGACTCTGAGATGCCAGAGGGTCAAAAGCTAACATGACGTGAAGATGGTTTGGGTACAGCACTACCAATGCTGTTCGGCATTGGTTTTACCATCATGGCACACATCACCTCAAGGCTTAAAAATAAACAGAGGCTTGAATGCCTGATGTACTGCATGAACTCTGAAAAATATTTATTATTTGAGACTATAAGTATTGTAACTGTTTGAAAAATATCATGACCTATAGAAAAGCCACTTATTTATTGTACCTCTGTTTTCACACAGAATAATAGATGCAACTACATACAGAACCCAGTTGAGGCAGGTTCTGGCCATATCAAGTGCTTCACAGTGTCCTAGATGACAAGCACTTTTATAACAATAAAAACAACCCTGCAGCTGGGCTGCATTAGTGTCATTTACAAGACCACGAGATGAAGGGGCATGTGTACCAGAAATACCTATTTCAAGGAATTTTCTCACCTTTTTAGCATGCATTAATAATAAAGGTAGACATAACCTTTCTGCTTCCCACCTTTTTATATAAAACTGAATTTTGGAAATTTTTTTTCTGGAAATTTCAAATACTTCCACAGAAAATGCTAACAAAACCAACTACTATTTGTTTTTTTGTTAAAGAGGAAAACAATAAATTATAGTCAATATCCCACATCTTTGGTGCTAATTCCCCACTGACTAACTTCCATTTTGGGACTGAGTTTCATTATCATGGAATACTTGTTAAAGCAATGCCTAATTAAAGTGAATAAATGGCAGATTAGTGCTCATTGTTTCTCTGCTTGCACACTAAAACACAGTACCCAGTTTAGGCTAGCCACTTTGCTTTGCCCAACAGGCAGAAGCTAATGTGGCAGAGGCCTGGATGGGGTCAGAACCTCCCCTGTACTGCTGCCACCCTGGGAAGTTTTAGAGGTGTAGTTTGGAAAAGCTTTTCCTGCTAAAGCAATCCTCCAGCTGGAAGTACAAGTCAAAGGATCTGAACAGCCCTGAAATCACCATAGATCTCCCTTCACTTCCACAGTGTAATATCGACCTGCTTTGCTCTACTTTACCATTTTATCAGCTGCAGAGAGTGTCAAGATCCTTGCATGAAAACCACAACAGAAAAGCACTCCAAATCTATTACAAGCCCTTGGCATCCAACCCAAATTCTCATCATAGCCTGTTTCTGAAACATGAACCACTTGTTTCTTAAAGTTACAGCTCAATCCACTCAAGCTCACTGTCCCCTGACTGTGTTCTGGGCAATGGCATGGTTTGTTATGAGCGTGGGCTCTCCTGCTTGCTTCGCTGTGCCGTGTGTGTAGTCTGAGGGCATGCAGGGTATTGCAGTCCTCTACTAGCAGCATAGAGGGTCACTTACCGTATATCCCGTGATGGTGCTTGCATGCTGCTTTGGCATCCTCCATTGCACGCTGAACGCTGTGCAGTTCAGTGAATCCAGCAGTATATCCAGAGGAGGTCCCAGTCTATCTGCTCAAAGCAAAATGACATTGTGTAAGAAACCATAGGACATAAAACCTCTCCTTTAGCCACCTGACAGGTATGGCTTTGAAGAAGAATAGATCTGTGCTGCCCTCATTCCAAACAGTCAAACATAGCCCACTACTCAGATTTGACTTGGGTGCACCTTTTCACTCTCCACCTCTGCCATCCAAGGCAGCAGTGGGATATTAGGAGAGAAGGGGTGAAGGGGGACATCCCCTCTCTCAGCAGCAAGGAGCTGTTGATCAGCTCAGGACACCTCACAGACACCTTCAGCCTCCCCTCACCACCTCTCAGGCTTCACATCCAACAGTGACATCCTGGTGTGAGGAAAAACAAACCAAACCCAAAACATGTCTCTTTGCTTTGGCACAGGCCAAGAGACCCCTTCACAGGTCACCAGGAGGTCTCTCAATCACCACCAGCCTCTGCAGTCTCAATTCCTTCACAACAGCTATGGATGAGAAGGGCAATGACTTAAGGAGCAAGTTTAGCTTGATGAGAAGAGCACAAAGGACCCCTCAGTTCCTGGCTGCCCCTCTCCAGACACAGGTTATGGCAATGGGATCTCTTGCTGTCATGCTTTCATTGCTGCCATGATCAACCACATCTCTCACCAGCTGCATGGAGGGAGAGAATTTTCATATGGCTGTACTGGTCTGACAGCACCTATCCATCTCCTCTTTCCATGGTACAGGCTGGTGTTTCAATACAATGGCAAATTCAGCTACTGCAAATAAAAAAAGCTGGAGAAGGAGCCCTGAGATCCAGGTCTCTATCAACATGTTAGCAACTGCATTTACTGTCTGAGAAAGTGGCAGGCAGAGGAGCATGTCTGCTTTGTAACCCAAGCAAGATTTTTAACACAACATCTCCAAAGCACCATCATCCATGCTGTTGAAACCAAACCCACCCAACAAACAACTGTAACAGAGAACTGATTCAGACACTTTAACAGCAATGTCATTTTTCTCAAGGCAAAAGTTTTACCATACGTAGTTTTTTGCATGCCCTTACCTATGAAGATTTTAAGTAAAGGTTAAGGAAACCTTTTTCCCCCTTTTTTAACCCACTAGCTCTGACAAAGTATCAAGCCAAAACAAGCTACTATAAAGGTCATTTTTAGATGTGAGGCAAGCCTACATTAGATTTACACTTGTCACTTCCATCAACATATTTGATTTGAAGCTAAATATAAAACTTAACAGCTTACAGACTCTGCACGGTATCAATTGGCATCAATACCCAGGTAGCTAAAACAATAGTAGAACTGAGAGTAGTGGTCAATGGCTCAATGTCCAGATGGAAGACAGTGACAAGCAGTGTCCCTCAGGGGTCTGTACTGGGACCAGTGCTGTTTAATATCTTCATTACTGATACTGACAGCAGGATTGAGTGCACCCTCGGCAAGTTCGCTGACAATACCAAGCTGGGTGGTGCAGTCAATGTGCCAAAGGGATGGGATGCCATCCAGAGGGACCTGGACAGGCTGGAGAAGTGGGCCCAGGTGAACCTTATGAGGTTCAACAAGAACAAGTGCAAGGTCCTGCACCTGGGTCAGGACAATCCTTGTTATCGATACAGGCTAGGAGGTGATGTGCTGGAAAGAAGCCCTGAGGAAAAGGACTTGGGGGTAGTAGTGGATGAAAAGCTGGACATGAACCACCAATGTGCATCTGCAGCCCAGAAGCCAACTGCATCCTGGGTTGCATCAAAAGAAGTGTGGCCAACAGATCGAGAGAGGTGATTCTGCTCCTCTGCTCTGCTCTGGTGAGATCTCACCTAGAATACTGCATCCAGTTTTGGAGTCCCCAACACAAGAAGGACATATACCTGTTGGAGTGTGTCCAGAGGAGGCCACAAATTGGAGCACCTCTCCTGTGAGGGCAGGCTGAGAGAGTTGGGGCTGTTCAGCCTGGAGGAGAGAAGGCTCTGGGGGTACCTTATAGCGACCTTACAGTACCTGAAAGGTACCTCTAAAAAAGCTGGGGAAGAACTGTTCACAAGGGCATGTAGCAATAGGACGAGGGGTAATGGTTTTAAACTAGAAAAGGGTAGATTTAGGTTGGATATTAGGAAAAAGTTCTTCAATATGAGGGTGATAGATTGGTCAGGTTGCCCAGAGAGGTAGTGGAGGCCCCATCCCTGGAGATATTCAAGGTCAGGCTTGATGGGGTTCTGTGCAACCTGCTCTAGTATAGATGTCCCTGCTCACTGCAGAGGGGTTGGGCTAGATGACCTTTGAAGGTTCCTTCCAACCCAATACATGCTATGATTCAGTGATATTCAGGTCCTTTTCAAACTGACCCTGCATTTTCCCACTGCTAGGAAACTTTTTGGTTTATGTTTCTTAATTTGACTAAGCAAGTGAGGCCAGTCAGGGTCCACACCTCTCAATGAACACCGATGACTCTTTGTTTTCCTGGCTCTTTTATCTATTTATTTCTCTTCAACGCTAAAAGAAATTCTGGACAGTGCTAGGTGCAATCATTAAAGGATAAATATATATATATATGAAGCTTAAGAGACTCTAACTTCTCTCACCATTTGGTCCCTATGCCTGAAGCTTCACCCATTCTTAACTTTAAAAATTGCCAACTGACTCTCTCCTGGGCAAGGCTGCACAAAGACTGCATGTGATGGGCACCTTAGCAAGAACCTTTTTATTTTTTTTCCTTTTATTGTTGAAACAACACAGTGGGACATAAAAAAATCAATACACCTTCAGAAAAAAAGGACTACCTCTTGCATGCTAGAGGTTTGTATTTTCTACACACCCCAAGGATCTTGCTTATCAGTTCAACCTGAAATTCTCTAATAGAATTCTCTAATGCACTATTATAACATCCCTGAGAAGTTTGTGTAGCCATAACAGGACTACACTTACACATTAAACAAAGAAAACATACTTAGGGCTCTACCTGCTTGAATTGTTCTCATTTCCCACTCCCATTAACTCAAAGATGAGTTAATGGGAGCATGCACAAGAACTACAGTTTGCCCTAACAGGCTCCCAGTCCATAAACACAAGCCAACAGACAGATTCCCAGTTTCACTCCCAGCTTGTCACATTTCCCAGAGGTAAACAGTGAGCAGCAGCCTCCTCCCAGCCCCTTTCCAGGGACACCACCATCTCCTCCCTTCCCAGAGCTCCCAGGGAAGGCGCACGGAAGAGTTGAGCATGTCCTAAATGGGTCTTCAGGTAAACAAATAACCACCTAGTGCTTTGGGCAATGCAGTTGAGCAGCCCATAGGCATTTAAACGTGTTCCTGGGATGCTGGAAACTACCCAGGGCCCAAAGGCAGGGACATCCACACATCCATACTGTCTGTACAGTTTGTCCCAGGAAATTCTACCTGGAAAGGTTCAGAGGATAGAACACCTCACAGACCATGTCTGTAAGTCAGTACCAACATCTTTTGGGAAGGAAAGGAGTTCAGCCATATGGATGACAGCCAAACCATGCCATGCTACTTGTTCTCAGAGCCCTCATCCATTTTATTTATTAGCACAGTCTTAGTCTCATGGATCCCTGCTTGGTTCAGGAGTTCTGAGCACAGCAGGGTACTGCTGCTTGCCTCCAGCCCTGTGTCCAGCAGTAGCTGGGCCATAATCCACCACCTACCACCCACTACTCAAAGCAAAGGCAGGGAAGAGCAGCCAGGGCTGGGGTATCACTGTCTGCTTAAGCAGCATTTCACACCTTTCCAATCTTCACAATACTCAGTGGGGCAGATTGGTGTCAGAACTGCAACAGTAGTAAAGGAGAAAAATATCCCCTAAACATTCACTCTTTACATATTCATACTATCCTTGTATTACTTTCTGGAGAGGCTCTAGGAGACAAGTTTGCTGGGATGCATAGTTGGTGAAATTATAAATTTTAACCAGCAATGACAAATACTGATATAAGGCAGGCTTCAAATTCATATTCTGAATGTATTATAGGCCAATAAAATTATTTACAGAAAGTATTTGGTGAATAATTTGGAGCAACAAATAAATTAGAAAAAAAATGCAATCCATTTGCAGACTATCTGCAAACAGAGAGGCAACATCTGTTTAATAAGGAGTCATGCCATGAATTATTCACCCAGCCCTACTAAACACTATTATCTCCAGTTTGCAGATGATGAAAGAGACACAGAGAGCCAAACACTGACCTCAGTTACACCGGCCTATAAATTGTCACTAGAGGAGTAAATACTAACTTAAGCCAGGGGAAATGAGAGCAAGGAGCCAGAGAGGTCTTGTCATGGTTTAACTCAGCTGGCAGCCAAATACCACACAGCTGCTCGCTCACTCTGCCCTGCCCTGGGGAATAGGGGAGAGAATTGGAGGGGTAAAGGTAAGGAGACCTTTAGGTTGAGATAAGAATATTTTAATAATTGAAATAAAATAAAAATTAAAATTATGAAAATAATAATAATAACAATAGTAATAATAGAGTATAGAAAGGAGTGATGCACAGTGCAAGTGCTCACCATCTGCTGACCAACACCCAGCCCGTTCTTGGCTAGAGACCCTGGAGGAGAGAAAATCCTGAAACTACAATTGCGGAAGAAGAGAGAGAGCTTTCTGGCCAACCCTCATTAATACAACAAATATAACATTCTATGATATGGAATATCCCGGTGACATATCCAAACACCAATTTGGATCTATCACTCTGGCTATACTCCCCTTACCTTCTTCTGCTCCTGCAGACCAGCAAAACGAAGGAAGTTGTGAAATCCTTGATTTCTTAGCAGCAAGTGAAAACATCAGTATATTCTCAATATTCTTCTCATACCATAACCCATACTGAATCCAAAAGACAGCGCTATTCTAGCTACTAAGAAGAAAGTTATCTCCATCCCAGCAGAAACCAGGACAGGTTTGTATTTCCATCCTCTGTTTAATTCTCCCTAGAAGTCAGGGAATTCCTCTAATGCAACAAAGACGGTGGCAGGAGGCATGCTTGGGAGCCAGGTGTAAGTGCC